GGGTGAGGCACTGTGCCCAGCTAAAAAAAAGGTTTTAATTAAAAATTTTTTAATTGGAGTTGATCCTCTCAAACCCTGCCACTGCTTTATCAACAAGGTTTATGTAGTTTTCTAAATCCTTTATTGTCATTTCAACAGTGTTCCTAGTTTCTTCACCAGGAGTAGACTCCATCTCAAGAAACCACCGTCTTTGCTTATCCACTCCTTATCTGTTCAAGTTTTATCATGAGATTGCAGCAATTCAAGCTCCTCCATTTTGAATTCTAGTTCTCTTGCAGTTTCCAACACATCTGTAGTTACTTCCTCCAAGAAAGTCTTGAAGTCATCATGAAGGCTGGAATCAGTTTCGTCCAAGCTCCTGTTAATGTTGATATTTTGACCTCCTCCCATGAATCTCAGTCTTAATGGCATCTAGAATGATGAATCTTTCCCAGAAAGTTTTCACTTTGCTTTGTGCAGATCCATCAGCAGAATCTGTGGCAGCTCTAGCCTTTTGAAATGTGTTTCTTAAATAATAAGACTTGAAAATCAAAATGACTCCCTGATCTATAGGCTGCAGAATGGATGTTATATTAGCAGCCGTGAAAGCAACATCAATCATGTACCTCCTTATCAGAGCTCCTCAATGACGAGATGCATTGTTGGAAAGCAGTAAAATATACTGAACGCAATCTTGTAAGCAGTAGGTCTCAACAGTGGGCTTTTAAAACATGCAGTAATCCATGCTGTAAATAGATGTGCTGTCATCAGGCTGTGTTGTTTCACTTATAGAGCACGGCAGAATAGATTGAGCCTAATCATTAAGGGGTCTAGGATTTTCAGAATAGTAAATGAATATTGGCTTCCAGTTAAGTTACCAGCTGCATTAGCCACTTACAAGAGAGGCATCCTGTCCTTTGAAGCTTTGAAGCCAGGCATTGACTTCTCTCTAGCTGTGAAAGTCTCTTTCCAGTGTAAGGCTGTGTTGTCTACATTGAAAACCTGTTGTTTAGTGTAGCCACCTTCATCAGTGATCTTAGCTAGCTCTTCTGGATAACTTGTTGCAGCTTCAACCTCAGCACTTGCAGCTTCACCTTGCACTGTTATGTTATGGAGATGGCTTCTTTCCTTCAACCTCATGAATCAACCTCTGCTAGCTTCCAACTTTTCTTCTGCAGCTTCCTCATCCCTGTCAGCCTTCACAGAATTGAAGAGAGTTAATGGCCTTGCCCTGGATTAGGCTTTGATTTAAAGGAGTATTGTGATTGGTATCGTCTTCTGTCCACACCAGGCAAACTTTCTCCATGTCAGCAATAAAGCTGTTTTACTTTCTCATCATTTGTGCGTGCACTGGAGTAGCACTTTTAATTTCCTTTAAGAATATGTACTTTGCTATCACAGCTTGGCTAGCTGTTTGATATAAAAGGTCTAGCTTTCAGGCGCTCTCTGAGCTCTCAACATGCCTTCCTCACTAAACTTAATAATTTCTAGCATTTCATTTAAAGTGAAAAACGTGAGATAGGTGGATCACTTGAGGTCAGGAGTTCGAGACCAGGCTGGCCAACATGGTGAAACCCCCTCTTTACTAAAACTACAAAAATTAACTGGGGTTTGTGGTGCACACCTGTAATTCAAGCTACTCTGGAAGCTGAAAGGAGAATTGCTTGAATCTGGGACGTGGAGGTTGCAGTGAGCCAAGATTGTGTCACTGCACTCTAGCCTGGGTGACAGAGCAAAATTCTGTCTCAAAACATAAAAAAAACAAAGTGAGAAATGTGCAACTCTTACTTTCACATAGTCATTTAGAGGCCATGGTAGGGTTATTAATTGGTCTAATTTCAGTATCCTTGTTTTTCATGGAATAGGGATACCTGAGGAGGAGGAGAGAGATGGAGGACTGACTAGTGGGAAAATCAGTCATAACACACACAACATTAAGTTCACTGTCTTACATGGGTGCAGTTTGTGGTACCCCAAAACAATTACAGTAGTAACATCAAAGATTACTGATCACAGATCACCATAACAGATATAATTATAATGAAAAAGTTTGAAATACTGCAAGAATTACCAAAACGTGACACAAACGTGAAGTGAGCACAAGCTGGTGGAAACTGGCACCGGTAGACTTGCTGACGCAGGGTTGCCACAAATTTCCAATTTGTAAAAAGGACAGTATCTGCAAAGTTTAATAAAGCAAAGTGCAAGAAGATGAAGTATGTCTGTGTATCCAAAATATATTGGTCCGTATAAGTTTGTGTTGGGGAGCATATCTTGGGCCTGAGTTTCCGCAGACATATTGGGAAATGCATGTGATAAATACATGGTATGGAATGTATTTCCTCATCATCACCTTCTTCTCATCCTGTACTTCTAAGTAGATCAGAATTCGTACCATGTATGTGAACAGGCATGACTTATAGGAGGTATTCTTGAGCCATTTTATTTGTTCTGTGGACTTAGTTCTCCCTCCAGCTTCCTGGAGAGTAAGTCTTAATAACTGTGCTGATCACTTTCAGGAAATACCAACAATCTTTTCAAGAACTAATAAACTTAGAGTGAAAGCTTTCCCTCCTTTCCCACCTCAGGCCTACTATAGGCCTGCAGTTGAAGAGTTGGGTGTGATTTGCCTCCTCTTTCTTTCTCTCCTCCCCAGCGTTCTTCTTTCACTCTTCTTCATTTGCTGGCTGTGGTTTCTGGCCCGTCCAGGAAGAAAAGGTCTTTGATAGTAATGTTAGTAGCAGCAGCAACTAATGTTTCTGTAGCATTGATTATGTTGCTAGTTACTATTCTAAACGCTTAACGTGTTAGATCATTTAATCCTCAGAACTCTATGAGGTGTGTTGTGTTATATTTATTATACCGCTGAATATGTTAAGATACAGAGGGTTTGTTTAATGACTTGCCTAAGGTCACACAGGTAAAAATAGCACCAGCATGCAAAGCCAGCATTGTGGTTCTGGAGTCTGTGCTTTCAGCCACTCCACTGTGTTGCCTTTATATACTGTTGGGAGATAGTAGGCGTACTTCTTGGCCTTGGCTGTTGTTTAAATCAGACTTACGTGCCCTTCAGAGTCTTTTCAGTTGTAGTATTTTCCATAGACCTGAGATAAAGGATCAGCGTGCCTTGAAGCCCCTTTCCCTGCAGGGAAGTAAGCAGAGAAGTAGAATGGGGTTTACAGCTCACAACAAACTGGTGACTCTCAGCAAAAATCCTTTTCATATCTACTCTTTGAACATGGAAGATGATTGAAGGTGGATGTAACTCAAGGTTGAAAATAGTTTTCCACTACCCCCTTGTGTAAGGTGCCCTTGTGCCTCATTTGAGAATGTAGTACATTATCTATTGTTTGGGGCCTATTCAAGATTGAAATGGTTTCATTTTAATACTCTGATGCACATGTCTTCCAAATATGCTGTTTAATTTCTTGCCTTCACACCTTTGTTCATGCAGATGGTCCCTGGATTATAACTAATTCACTTGCTCTGAAAGCATGTTTCTTCCCTCAACCACATGATCCCAAAGTAAGCACTCTTGAAGGCCATGCTTTAAAAGCTGGTTTCTTGGGATGCAATAAATGAACAAAACACTTCATATATAGCCCTCCCATTTTCTTCCTCTTCATCTCATTTTTTGAGACCTAAATCAGCAAATATGTTAAATGATGATTTGTGTACACCAGTCCCTGGCTGTCTAGTGCCTCATTGTGGCTTGACTTCAGGAAGGGTATGTGGAGCACTCAGTTTACATTTGAACTTCTGTCACTAATTATGGTCAAGATAATTATTTCAGTAGCTTTACCCGACTGCTTTGGATCAGAGAAGTCTGACATGGAACAGTCCCAAATTGATCATTGTGTCTTCTCAAGTTATAATAGTCTGTGACTTTTATTTTTTTAGACAGAATCTTGCTCTGTCACCAAGGCTGGAGTGCAGTGGTGCAATCTCAGCTCACTGCAACCTCCACCTCCCAGCCTCAAATGATCCTTCCACATCAGCGTCCTGAATAGCTGGGACTACAGGCCCATGCCACGACACCCCCCTAATTTTTATGTGCTTTTAGTAGAGACGGGGCTTTGCTATTTTGGCCAGGCTGGTCTCAGACTCCTGAGCTCAAGCAATCCACCTGCCTTGGCCTCCCTAAGTGCTGGGATTACAGGTGTGAGCCACACACCTGGCAACCTTTTAAAATTCATCCTGAAATCTTGGGTTTTTTTCTTTCCTTTTCCTTTTTCCCATCTTTCTTTTCCTCTATACATTTACCTGCATAAAACATGAACAGGGATGCTTATGTAATGGATTGTTTAGTGTTTACACTGGCATTGCCTGCTGCGTGCTCACATTTAGAAACAGGAATGATAATATGCCTACTGACAGAGATACGATGATGATCAATTAATTATTAAATGTGAAACATTTCAAATACTGTCTGGTACATAGAAGACACTCTGCAGTTGTCACTGTTCACAAACTGTTGCAGCCTGCAGCTCATTAAAACATTGGTTCACAGGTCGGACGTGGTGGCTCACGCCTGTAATCCCAGCATTTTGAGAGGCCGAGGCGGGCCTATCACCTGAGGTCAAGAGTTCAAGACCAGCCTGGCCAACATGGTGAAACCCCATCTCTACAAAAATACAAAAATTAGCCAGGCATGATGGCGAGTGCCTGTAATCCCAGCTACTCGGGAGGCTGAGGCAGGAGAATTACTTGAACCTGGAAGGCGGAGGTTGCAGTGATCCAAGACCGCTCCTCTGCACTCCATCCTGGGTGTCAGAGCGAGACTCTGTCTCAAAACAAAACAAAACAAAAAAAAAACATTGGTTCACAGACTTCATTGGTTGGACAGTTTGGAAGGCAGATAAGGAGAATATATTTCTTTACAGTTCCTACCTTAAGTTTCTCTCTCACTACCATCTTTCAGCTTTTTAATTTAGTGCAGTGGCCACATGAAAATGATCTAAATCACATTTTATTTAAACTACTAAAATATCAATTAATGCTTTATTTTATGTATTTTTTAGGACATTTCTGATTCATTTGCATCCTTGAAGAGCATCTGTAGAAGAGGAAGTAAAAGATGGGTGTGAAAACGTTTACTCATAGCTCCTCTTCCCACAGCCAGGAAATGCTTGGAAAGCTAAATATGCTGCGAAATGATGGACATTTTTGTGATATCACTATTCGTGTCCAGGACAAAATCTTCCGGGCACATAAGGTGGTACTAGCAGCTTGCAGTGATTTCTTTCGCACCAAACTTGTAGGCCAAGCCGAGGATGAGAACAAGAATGTGTTGGATCTGCATCATGTTACAGTGACTGGCTTTATACCTCTTTTAGAATATGCTTACACAGCCACTCTATCAATTAACACAGAAAATATTATTGATGTTCTAGCAGCAGCCAGCTATATGCAAATGTTCAGTGTTGCCAGCACTTGCTCAGAGTTCATGAAATCAAGCATTTTATGGAATACACCTAACAGCCAACCCGAAAAGGGTCTAGATGCTGGACAAGAAAATAATTCTAACTGCAATTTTACTTCTCGAGATGGGAGCATTTCTCCCGTGTCCTCAGAGTGCAGTGTGGTAGAAAGAACGATTCCTGTCTGCCGAGAATCCCGGAGAAAGCGCAAAAGCTACATTGTTATGTCTCCTGAAAGTCCTGTAAAGTGTAGCACACAAACAAGTTCACCCCAGATATTGAATTCTTCAGCTTCCTACTCAGAAAATAGAAACCAACCAGTTGACTCTTCCTTAGCTTTTCCCTGGACTTTTCCTTTTGGAATTGATCGAAGGATTCAGCCTGAGAAAGTTAAGCAAGCAGAAAATACCCGGACTTTAGAATTACCTGGCCCATCTGAGACCGGTAGAAGAATGGCTGATTATGTGACTTGTGAGAGCACAAAAACTACCTTGCCTTTAGGTACCGAAGAAGATGTCCGGGTCAAAGTAGAAAGGTTAAGTGACGAGGAGGTCCATGAGGAAGTGTCCCAGCCTGTCAGTGCATCTCAGAGTTCCCTGAGTGATCAGCAGACAGTTCCAGGAAGTGAGCAAGTCCAAGAGGACCTTCTGATTAGTCCACAGTCTTCCTCTATAGGTATAATGGCTTCTGTGTTTTTCTTGGTGCTATAAAGTCAATTCAAACGTTTTTAAGTTCCTGTTAGATAAAAAAGTTGTGTGCTCGGTCATACAGGAAATATAAAGAAGAGTAAAACGTGATAACTGGATTTGCTTGAGATGCTATTAGTACTATCATTTATTTTTTACAAGTTGCACATTAGGGAAAATAAAAATAATTGAATAATATCTGGTGGGACAAAGGCAGATACACACACACCAAAAAAACAGTTAAATCCAGTTTGTGTTTTATTCTTTATTAAAATATGTATTGAAAACTTACCATGTGCCAAGCAAACATTGGTGATACATAAAGAACAACACATAGTCCCTGCAGTGAAGAGGTTAATCATCTAATTGGGGAAGCAGATATGTAAGTAAATTATTACAGTGAACTATTAAAAGTGCTGATCTGGAGGTGTGAACAAAGTAGTATGGTTGTAACAAAGGAAAGAGCAAGTTAACACTATATATTTGAGTTGGGTCTTATGCAATAAGTAAGAGTTTACCCAAGCATGGGAACGTCATTTCTGTGAAAACATATAAAAACAGCAGCGCATATATGTAAACACAGGTATGGAAGAGCATTGTGTGTTTGGTAAACAGTGAATTCAGTGCAAAATGATGTAAATAAGCACAGATGCCTGAAAGTGTAGACGATAGCAGGAGATAAGATAAAAAGGAGTGGTTGAGTGCAGGCTGTGAAGAGCCTTGAATCCTGGTTTCAGTAGGGGTTGCATTTAAGTGCAGGTAAAGGAATCCCTTCTGCAGTAACTTAACTGTAGCAGAGTTTTATTTATTTTTTCTTTATTATTTATTTATCTTTTTAGATTGAAAATAAAATGATTTAAAGTTGTTTTCTCTGGCAGTATTTTTTTCTTTTTCTTTTTTTTAATTCAAGTTCTGGGGTACGTGTGCAGAACGTTCAGTTTTGTTACATAGGTGTACATGGCATGGTGGTTTGCTGCACCCATCAACCCTTCGTCTGTATTAGGTATTTACCCTAATGCTATCTCTCCCCTAGCCCCCCACCCCCTCAACAGGCCCCGTTGTGTGATATTCCCCTCCCCGTGTCCATGGATTCTCATTGTTCAACTCCCACTTATGAGTGAGAACATGTGGTGTTTGGTTTTCTGTTCTTGTGTTAGTTTGCTGAGAATGATGGTTTCCAGCTTCATCCGTGTCCCTGCAAAGGGACTCATTTTTTATGGTTGCATAGTATTTCATGGTGTATATGTGCCACATTTTCTTTTTCCAGTCTATCATTAAAGGACATTTTGGGTTGGTTCAAAGTCTTTGCTATTGTGAATCGTGTCACAGTAAACATACATGCACATGTGTCTTTATAGTAGAATGATTTATAATCCTTTGGGTGTATGCCCAGTATTTGGATTACTGGGTCAAATGATATTTCTAGTTCCAGATCCTTGAGGAATCGCCACACTGTCTTCCACAATGGTTGAACTAATTTACACTCCCAACAGTGTAAAAGTGTTCCTGTTTCTCCACATCCTCCAGCATCTGTTGTTTCCAGACTTTTTAATGATCGCCATTCTAACTGGTGTGAGATGGTATCTCATTGTGGTTTTGATTTGCATTTCTCCGATGACCAGTGATGATGAGCTTTTTTTCGTATGTTTGTTGGCTGCATAAATGTCTTCTTTTGAGAAGTGTCTGTTCATATCCTTCGCCCACTTTTTGATGGGATTGTTTATTTTTTTCTTGTAAATTTGTTTAAGTTCTTTGTAGATTCTGGATATTAGACCTTTGTCAGATGGATAGATTGCAAAAATTTTCTCCCATTCTGTAGATTGCCTGGTCACTCTGATGATAGTTTCTTTTGCTGTGCAGAAGCTCTTTTGTTTAATTGGGTTCCATTTGTCAGTTTTGGCTTTTGTTGCAATTGCTTTTGGTGCTTTAGTCATAAAGTCTTTGCCCATGCCTGTGTCCTGAATGGTATTGCCTATGTTTTCTTCTAGGGTTTTTATAGTTTTAGGTCTTACGTTTAAGTATTTAATCCATCGAGTTAATTTTTGTATAAGGTGTAAGGAAGGGGTCCAGTTTCAGTTTTCTGCGTATGGCTAGCCAGTTTTCCCAGCACCATTTATTAAGTAGGGAATCCTTTCCCCATTGATTGTTTTTGTCAGGTTTGTCGAAGATCAGATGGTTGTAGATGTGTGGTGTTATTTCTGAGGCCTCTGTTCTGTTCCATTGGTCTATATCTCTGTTTTGGTACCAGTACCATGCTGTTTTGGTTACTGTAGACTTGTAGTATAAAGTCAGGTAGCATGATGCCTCCAGCTTTGTTCTTTTTTCTTAGGGTTGTCTTGGCTATGTGGGCTCTTTTTTGTTTCCATATGAAATTTAAAATAGTGTTTTTTGGTTCTGTGTAGAAAGTCAGTGGTAGCTTGATGGGAATAGCATTGGATCTATAAATTACTTTGGGCAGTATGACCATTTTCACAATACTGATTCTTCCTATCCATGAGCATGGAATTTTTTTCCATTTGTTTGTGTCCTCTCTTATTTCCTTGAGCAGTGATTTGTAGTTCTCCTTGAAGAGATGCTTCACGTCCCTTGTAAGTTGTGGTTTTGGGTATTTTGTTTTCTTTGTAGCAATTGTGAATGGGAGTTCACTCATAATTTGGCTCTCTGCTTGTCTGTTATTGGTGTATAGGAATACTTGTGATTTTTGCACATTGATTTTGTATCCTGAGATTTTGCTGAAGTTGCTTATCAGCTTTAAGGAGTTTTGGGGCTGAGACAGTGGGGTTTTCTAAATATACAATCATGTCATCTGCAAACAGAGACAATTTGACTTTCTCTCTTCTTATTTGAATACCCTTGACTTCCTCTCTTCCTATTTGAATACTCTTTCTTTCTCTTGGCTGATTGCTCTGGCCAGAACTTCAGTACTGTGTTGAATAGGGGTGGTGAGAGAGGGCATCCTTGTCTTGTGCCTGTTTTTAAAGGGAACGCTTTCTGCTTTTACTCATTCAGTATGATACTGGCTATGGGTTTGTCATAAATAGCTCTTATTATTTTGAGATATGTTCCATCAATACCTAGTTTATTGAGAGTTTTTAGCATGAAGAAGTGTTGAATTTTTTAAATTTATTTTAAATTTATTTTTTATTTAATTTAATTTTTTTTTTTTTTTTTGAGACAGAGTCTCATTCTGTCACCAGGCTGGAGTGCAGTGGCACGCACTGCAACGTCCCCCTCCCGGGTTCAAGCAGTTCCCCTACCTCAGCCTCCCGAGTAGCTGGGACTACAGAGGCGTGCCACCACACCCAGCTAATTTTTGTTTTTTTAGTAGAGATGGGATTTCACCATGTTGGCCAGGATTGTCTTGATGTCTTGACCTCGTGATCCTCCCGCCTCAGCTCCCCAGAGTGCTGGGGTTACAGGTGTGAGCCACTGCACCCGGCCAGGGGTGTTGAATTTTATCGGAGACCTTTTCTGTGTCTATTGAGATAATTGTGGTTTTTGTCATTGGTTCTGTCTTATGTGATGGATTACGTTTATTGATTTGCATATGTTGAACCAGCCTTGCGTTCCAGGCATGAAGCCAACTCGATCCTGGTGGATAAGCTTTTTGATGTTCTGCTGGATTCAGTTTGCCAGTATTTTATTGAGGATTTTCACATCGATGTTCATCAGGGACATCGCCCTGAAATTTTCTTTTTTGTTGTTGTCCCTCTGCCAGGTTTTGGCATCAGGATGTTGCTGGCCTCATAAAATGAGTTAGGGAGGAGTCCCTCTTTTTCTGTTGTTGGGAATGGTTTCAGAAGGAATGATACCAGGTTCTCTTCGTACCTCTGGTAGAATTCGGCTGTGAGTCTGTCTGGTCCTAGGCTTTTTTTGGTTGGTAGGCTATTTCAGGAGAGTTTTTAACATGAAGGAGTGTTGAAAAAAAATTTTTTTTTTTTTTTGAGGTTCTGCTTCAATTTCAGAACTTGTTATTAGTCTATTCAGGGATTCGACTTCTTCCTAGTTTAGTCTTGGGAGGGTGTATGGTCCAGGAATGTATCCATTTCTTCTTGATTTTCTAGTTTATTTGCATACAGGTGTTTACAGTATTCTCTGATGATAGTCTGTATTTCTGTGGGATCAGTGATGATATCCCTTTTATCATTTTTTATTGTGTCTATTTGATTATTCTCTCTCTTTTTATTAATCTGGCTAGCAGTCTATCTATTTTGTTAATCTTTTCAAAACAGTTCCTGTATTCATTAATTTTTTGAAGGGTTTTTCATGTGTCTGTCTCTTTTGGTTCTGCTCTGTTCTTAGTTATTTATTGTCTTCTGCTAGCTTTTGAATTTGTTTGCTCTTGCTTCTCTAGTTCTTTTAATTGTGATGTTAGGGTGTGGATTTTACATCTTTCCCACTGTCTGATGTGAGCATTTAGTGCTGTAAATTTTCCTCTAAACACTGCTTTTAGCATATCCCAGAGATTCTGGTACGTTGTCTCTTTGTTCTCATTGGTTTCAGAGAACTTTGTTATTTCTGCCTTAATTTCGTTATTTACCTAGTGGTCATTCAGGAGCAGGTTGTTTAGTTCCCTGTAGTTGTGCAGTTTTGAGTGAGTTTCCTAATCCTGAGTTGTAATTTGATTGCACTGTGGTCTGAGAGGCTGTTATGATTTCCGTTCTTTTGCATTTGCTTCCAATTATGTGGTCTGTTTTAGAGTAAGTGCTGTGTGGTACTGAGAAGAATATATATTCTGTTGATTTGTGGTGGAGAGTTCTGTAGCTGTCTATTAGGTCTGCTTGGTCCAGAGCTAAGTTCAAGTCCTGAATATCCTTGTTTATTTTCTGTCTCGTTGATCTGTCTAATATTGACAGTGGGGGGTTCAAGTCTCCCACTGTTATTGTGTGGGAATCTGAGTCTCTTTGTAGGTCTCTAAGAACTTGTTTTATGAATCTGGGTGCTCCTGTATTGGGTACGTATATATTTAGGATAGTTAGCTCTTCTTGT